TACTGAATCCTGAGTCGATCGCGACTCCAGGAGTGTTTTTTGTGATAGGTCCAGTGGCCGACGCTGTCCCAGCGAGGTTCCAGTGCACGATCTCGGGCATGTCATAATCTGCGTCCTCGAACATCTTGACGATCTGCTGGTGATTCGGATCCCATTTGTTGCCCTGTCGACCCCCTGGGACCTGTCTCGCCTCATCGAATTGCATGTCGCTGAACACGAAGATACGTTTGACCATGTCTTCCCGCTTCAGATTGTTAGCTACTGCCAGCTTCGGTGTTCATTCCTGAGCTAGCCTTGGTGATCTCACGGACCGTACTGATAGGGTCCGTTTGGGTATGGCTCGAGATGTTGGTGATCTTTGGTATCATGGGGAGTGATGAACGTGTCGTTGAATGGTGGTTCGGCGAGGGTAGCGAGATCGCGGGTAAGATGCGCTGGATAAATTCGCTGTGCGAAAGCGTGCCCATAGATCCCGAGAGGTCGCAGACTGCAATGTAGTTTTCGAGCGTGCCAGCCTCTCGAAGGCGCTCGATCATAGAGTTCCATTGGTTTTTCGTGATTGATCTCGATGCTTCGCTCAGATGTGAGTCCTTTTCGCACTCAGTTGCGAGTTCAAGCGCTTCCTTGACGAGCTCGTGAGGACCGAGAGTGGCGCCGTTGATGGTCTTCTTGCCATTGGCGACACCCTGGAGACAGGATGTTAGTCGACCCTCGTCATGTTTGAAAAAGGATCTCTTGTTTCGACGGAAGGATGCAACAATGTCTGCACCGACGTAATCCGCTTCCTTCAAGGTCTAGGCAGAGTCATCTACTTACTTTCTATGGTCTTCTATCTTCGGATCGGGACACGAGAAACTGGGGTTCGAGGATAGATTTTCGTCATGCTTGATGACTCGCGATTATTACATTTCTCTAGGATCGCCGAGACCTCTGGCTGACGGCTGGCATGATCCCCGGGTTCTATTCTTATTTTGCTACAACATGCGAGTCAACTGGACGTACACTCCTTAACGTGCAGCTCCTCTGGTGCGGACAAGGGAGAACATGCCTGCCAGAAGCGGTCATTTGTGAATGAGTCTTCGTACACGCTATGCGACAGAAAAATCAGTCAGAAGAGATCGTATTTGGTTTGCTGATTCACGATCAATTTGCGACGGCCTATTTGTACCAACTTTGCCCGAGGAGGTTCTCCCAATGAAGGATATTGCTGTTGATGTCCATGGTATACGGAGCTCTTCAAGGTTGTAACTCCCCACTAGCTCATCCCAGGCATCATATACTGCTCCAGCAGTACCGCCATCCCCGACTCTCGATCAATGCACCCGTTTGGCACCAGCGATACAGTCTGACGCGCTGAGGGTAGGCGGCGTGTGGTCACTCGTTGTTACGGACGCTCCTGCCCTTCTAAGCATGTCAAACTATACAACAGACCGGACACAATTGAGGCTGTGGCTTGGGATCCAAAACCTGTCGCAGTGAATGAATGACGCCCGAGTCGAACAGGTCTATGTTACCCATGACTCAACTATCAATGTATTCGACCTCTTAATCATGCATATGATCATGTATCTCATTCTCTAATATATAGACTCAAAAACCGTTCCACATGTGCATAAGCAGTGTATTCCAGAACCAGGCAATCCAAAGCGACATCGTTGCTCCTTCAGAGCTCCACGCATATGATATCATTGGGGAGCGTCGATGCGACGCAGATACGGTGGCGCGGGCGTTTCTGGAATGGACATTGAATCAGAGGAACTGAGCAGAGAGTCAATGATGATGCCTCCGTGTATCCTGAACAAAGGTGACTCACTCATATGGTTTCATCTTGTGACGACCATTATCAAGCGGGTAAGTCCACATCCCTACGCTCCTCGTATTGCTTGACCCATCAATTCCCGCGGGCGGCTTCTGTGTAATCTTCTCGCCTCTACCGTCCTCAGTCCTTCGGCGGCGGAGACAAAAGACGGTAACGATACAGAAGAGGCTCAGCAGTGCGATACCTCCGATGACACCACCGACGATTAGGCCGACGATAGAGGGGGATTCGCTAGAGTTGGATGGAGTGGATGGGGTACCGAATGCGCTTGGTGCGATACCGGATGCGTCGGGTATAGTTCTAATCGTAGTAGCTATGACAGGTTGCGCCGCTAATAAACAAACCCCAAAAGGTCGATCGTCAGCTAACGGTACCACATGGCCTAGCTCTTGGTTGCATACTCATATTCATGTTTTCCTTCGCGACGAGCGCGTTCCAAGAATCGTTCGTCCTGGGGTCCACATTTGCCCATCCGGGAATGATGGTTCCATTGGGCGTAGACTCAGGATACCCATAGTAAATCGTGTAACAGTTTTTGATCCAACTGGACCAGGTTCCTATTCCGCCTCCTTGGCAGGCAGCGCATGCTTGAAGGATATTATACGTGACGGTGTTGCACTGGCATAGATTCGCATAATATGTCGGCGATTGGTATGGACGACCCGAATCAAGAGCCCAAACCGACCAGTCACCGTTGCTAGTACAAATGCTTGACAGAAAGCTGTGCGCAATAGGGCGGATGAGTCCAAACGCCCTAGACCGGAGTACACGATCGATCGCTTACGCAGCCACTAAACACGGGTTTTGGCCGAGCGCGTTGTTCATCCATGATGACGAGTTGGAGCAGGTCACATCGGTCACCTAAGTGAAGGTGGTCAGCCGTTCATCGCCATCTTCGCCATACGATAGACGCCCACGGCTTGCCCTTGAGCGAGACTAGCGCAGAGGGAAGATTATAAACACCACAAGGCACCACATCCGGGCGATTCAAGGTAGTGTAGGAGAGAGAGTAAACGGAGATGAATCAACGTGGGTGTGGCGATTGAATCCTATGACATTGCAATACGAGCCAAGTCTATATATCACAGGATTGGGGTCCGATAATTAAGCGGTGGGAGCCTGGCGGTTGAGGGGATGGGCGGCTATGGCAGGCTATGCTTGGCATACTGTGCTTGATAACGAGGCTGGTAAGTGTGTACGGAAGCGCGATGCTTGTTACGTCAGTCTTCTGAACGAAGCTTGAAACCACGGGGATGCCTGTCTCGACGGATTGGGTGTGAGCGCACGTCAAC